TATCCGGAGTAGACTTTCAGCAGTAAACAGTTAGGGGACAGTGGCAGGCCTCAGGTCATGCCTTAGGAATTTACTTCTGCAGACCTTGTGCACAACACCCTGCCTGAACTAATGTGGAGGGAATTTGAGCCTCCCAGGCATCATTCCACCCTCATATGCCATATACTTATATTTCACTAGCTCAGGTCAGTGGAACTAGATGGGTTAGTTTTCCTCTCTGATTTGCAAGGCTACTACAGCATTTTTCCCCAGCCTTTTATACCCCAAATACCAGCACCCTTCCATTGTGCATTGTAGGGAGGCTCAGAGTTACTGAGAAAGACCCCTGCCATAGCACCATGCTGTTGTGTCTGTAAGTCTCTCTGTGGCTCACCTCATCATACTGGAGCACCTCAGACACGCATCAGTGTATCCTTGAAATTCTCCTGTGAACTGGGGAAGTAGCTATTTCATCTAGCCAGTGAGGAAGAGAGGCACTTGCCTGAGCTCATACAGCAATCTCTGATCGCTGCGGTCAGATCTTCAGGGTTCCAGCCCCATGCCATAAGCACCTCTCTCTACAGGCTACTGCTGGGTAAATTCTCAACATTTTGGGGAGAGGGGAAACGTTTAAAATAGAGGTAATAATTGATCATTCCCATTGAAGTCACCCCCCTTGCTCCCACAGCAGGGGGCCTGCCATTTTTAAAAGTGAACTTGCATCTTGGCCCTCTGCTCCGCAAGTCTCTCTCGATTCCATGTATTATTTCTCAAAAGTCTGCAGCTGTCTGCTGGCATGTTACAACTGGGGAAATACGGACCAAGATTTATAAGCGTGCTCCAGGCACAGCTGTTCCGGACTGTCTGAGCTCCATTCATCTTCTGATGCCGTGCCGCTATATATCTAGCCGCACTCATCTGCCCTTGTAAATGAGATTTCTATCTCCCAAGTTTTACCTTGTTCAGATAAATGCACTCTGTTCAATGGACTCTGCTCCTATTTGAATTAGTTATGCAGTAATCAGAGCAGTCCATCGCTGGGAGGAAATATCCACTTGAGTTCACTCTGCTAATGGCCCGAGATTATTTAGTGTAATTGCTTTCTTATGGAGGTACTTGTAGCCTGCTGGCCACAAGAGACCTAAGAAGGTGCTAGCATTGAAGCAGGCTTCCAGAAGGAGAATGATGTTGGCAGCTACCCGCGCCCAGATGCTGCATGGAGGTGGGGAGAGGTGGGAGAGTGGCGGGAGGCAAGCCTGTTAACTGAAGCGAAGGACGGGCGGTTCCCGTGACCCATGGCATTTTCTTGTTCTGCTAATGATCTGCTTCCAACAGCACCATTCAGCCAGGGCTCTCGAGGCACTGGAAGGAGCTTAATCAGGCTTCACCATTGGTAGTTGTTTCCACTCTATGCTTGGGGAGATTTCCTTATGTGGAGCCAGGGCTAGAAAGTCCAGTCTCATGCCCATATCCTTGCCCTCACAGCTGCTCTGTCTGGACTTGGCCTGGGGAGAGTGAGTTGTTTCATAGCTTCTGTCCACCTTCCTTTTCTGTAGTCTACAGACTGAATCTTCAGGCCAGTTGGCAACCCCCTGACTAGCTGTCGGGAGCCCTGGATTCGGGTTGCTGGTGCTGAGGCTCTTTGGCTGTGGGATGGGGTTCAGACTGCCTGCATCCTGGCTACTATGTGGCGGTGCACTGGAGTGGAAAAGGCTCATGGCATTGGACATGTCTATTTTGCACTTCCAAGGTGGGTGGAGCAGGGCATTGCAGAGAGGAAAACCGGCTACTTGTTTGTATTTTGCGGGCTGTTAGGCGAGGGCCGGTGACTGCAGACTCTGTGCTGGGGGGGGGCAAGCATCATGTGCAGTGGGTATTGCTGGGGTGACAGACTCTCCCCTCCTGCAGGGTGGGTTGGGGAGTGGCCTGGTGTTAGACAGCTGCTGGCCAGGCAGGGTTTCTTGCTTGGGTGCAGGAAGCTGTCCGCAAGAAGTTGCTCCCCCTCTCCATCAGCTTTGCCTGCCTTGTGGAGAGAGTCGTGTGGAAATGCTTTGTGGCCAGGCCATTGGGAGAACATGGTGTCTCCACATAACCCGCTATGTCAAGCCAGGGTGGCTAGGCTGGACTATGTGTGGGGCAGCCTGCTGCTTTGAACCCTGGTCACAGCACACAGGCTGAGGAAGGGGAAGATGTGCCGAGGCTGAATTTCATGGCAGAGCCCGACATCTAGTGGCCAAGAGGCAGTATATCCACAAGGGATTTGGAGCACCCCTCCTGCATCCTGGAAGGGAGCCGTGGTTCTCAACCTTTTCAGATTCGAGGTGCTCATCCTTCAACCGGAGGCACCCCTCATCCAACTTGTGATGCCCCTCAATAATGCCAGCTCTTAGTTTTCATGTGTTTTGTGCATACATAAAAAGAGCAGAGCAGATTTTCTGCTGCAAAGAACTCGAAGCTCACAACAGGGCAGGTTTTTAACCTGCCCGGGTTCCTATTTGAAGTGTCTGGGTTTATCTTGTGACTCTTGTTTGCTTACTTGACAGTTCTAACATTGTGTCGCCCTCAGTGGCACCCTTGAATGGATCTCGGGGCACCGCAGGGTGCTAGGACACTGGTTGAGAATTACTGCCCTACACCCTACCCTGAGATGCATTAACTCTATGTTGCCAACTCCAAGAGGTCCAAAGCCACAAGGATCTTATAAATAGCAAGCGTCTGGCCTTTATGTTTGTACTGCAGGGCCTAAAGCTTTCAGGCGTTCTTTTCCAGCTTTTTTGTGTGGCCCAGAGGCCTAGAAAATGCAGTCTCACATATTCACATGACTACAGGAGCTGGTGCTTTTAAACCAAATGCCAAGACTAGCTCTCATAAGACTGGTATTGGGATGGGAAACTTGGCAATGCAACGTGCCCTCTAGTGCATCTTGCCATGGGGATGCTGGGAGCTTCACACGCTGGACTTCATGGAGGTGCCGTGTACTTGCTGAGGGGGCAGCTTTACTTTATTGGGAAAGGAGAGCAGTTCTCCAAGCTGGTGTCTGATGCAGCCGTTGAGCCTCTTGGACTCCTCTGTCTCTGCGTCCATGGCCCCATTCTCTCTCCTCAGGTCCCCTCACCAGTACACATGCCCTCAATCCTGCTGACTTTGCACCCCACCCAGATGTGCCCATCTCCTCTCTCACCCACCTTTGGGCTGTGGCATTACTGTGCAAGGGACAGAAGAAAGTGAGTAGGCTCTTGAGCCATTACTTTAGCCCCCTCAACTGTCTACACTGGTTGGAGAGCTGCATCCCCCTCCAGCAGGCCTTCTGTTCTCCTTTCCCCCTGGCTCCAGTAGGCAGATGCTTGCTTCTCAATAGCCCAGATTTGGAATTGTGCCCCTCCACTCAGCCCCTGCCCCCACATTACAGACATCTAGGCAGTGATGGGGCTTGCTGCCCTGGCCAGTGCACTATGAGGTTTGGGTAGGGCCCCACCCAGGGATGCTGCCTCCAGGCTGTCCAGTGAGGCAGGAGCAAGGACCCGAGTGATAGACCTGGAAAGCCACGGCCCCTCCCCACGTGGGGCTGGGAGCGGAATGCCTGTTCCAGCAGGGCAGCAGGCAGCGTGTAACCTCTTCTCCTTGCTTTGCAGGTATGTTGGTGGTGAACGTGACCTGGAGGAATAAGACATACGTGGGGACACTGCTGGACTGCACACAGCATGACTGGGCGCCCCCCCGGTGAGTGTGTGGTGGAGACATGGAAGAAGCGGGTCCAGGCTGGTCCTGCAGCCTTGGCTGATGCATGGAGCAACGTGAGGAGTCCTGCTCTGTGAAAGCCCCAAGCCTGCAGTGGTGGCCTGCCCTCACCCCATGCACAGATCTGGGGGACACGTCCTCCCCTAGGGGTGTGCGCAATGGCAGGAGCTGCCCCCCATTACCCGTGGATGAGCCTCTTGCAGCTGTGTCCTGCAACCTGACCCGGCTGGGCCGGGTAGCAGTTCCAGGAGCCTGGCCTGGCCTGCTGGATAGGTCCCCTTCTGGACCTCTGGGTTGACATGGCCTCATGGAGGGCTGTCTGGGCCCCTTCCACCCTGGCCCAGGTCAGCTGCTGCCTGGAGGGGTTGCTGGGCACCCAGCCTGGGGCCCCATGTACCTGTCGGGACCCTTTGAGATGGCTCTGGCCTGCCCGGCCCTCGGGCAGGTCACTGGGGCGAAGCTGGATTTGTGCCCGGGCTCCTGGAACTCTTGCCCGGCCTGGCCCGCCAGATCGGTTCTCTTCCGGACCTCCAGGTTGACATGGCCTTGTGGCAGGCTGCCTGGGCCCCTGCCGCCCCCCAGCCTGGGCCAGCCGCCACTTGGAGGGGTCGCTGGGCACCTGCCCCAACCCCACTTCCTCCCTCAATCTGCCCACCTTCCCTTCTCACCACAACAGACTTACCTGCTGGATGCTGCTCTCCAAAGCTGCCAGGCTGCATATCAGCAGTCGGATTGGTATCAGCCAATATGGCTCGTTAATAATCGTCTATCGGTCTCGGCCCAAAAAATCTTTATTGGTGCGCCCCTACTGCATTTCTGTTTTTCCCTAGAGAGTTCCAGCTTTTTTGCTTCCATGGCATGAGGCAGAAACCCTTTGCCAAGCTCTGGCTGCCATTGCTGCCTTAGAGCCAAGTATAGCTGCTGTCTTCCTGCCCAGTGTGTAACCATGTGAGCTCCCTGCAGGCAGGGTAGGCCATGACCTGAAGTGTGAGAGGAGTGCTCAGGACTATAGGGGGAAGGAGAGTGGAGCATAGACTCTGACCATTGAAGTGGTCAGCAGAGAAAGTACGTATTGGCACCCCATCTCCACAGGAACTCTGAGTGCTGCTGCAGGAGCTGGGCCAGCCTCCAAGACCCCAGCATGTTCTCTGTGGCTGTGGCAAGGCTGCCTGCCAGGCGGCACTGCTCTCCTGAGCAGCTTATGCCCTCTGACCCCTGCAGCTCCCTAAGCCGTGTGCTTTCTTTCTTCTCAGGTTCTGCGACTCTCCCACCAGTGACCTGGAGATGCGGAATGGCCGGGGCAGAGGGAAGCGCATGCGTCCTAACAGCAACACGCCTGTGAATGAGACTGCCACTGCCTCGGACAGCAAAGGGACCAGCAGCAGCAGCAAGACCCGGGCAGGGGCCAACAGCAAAGGGCGCCGGGGCAGCCAGAACTCCTCAGACCACCGTACCCCGCCCAGCGGTGCTGGTGAGGATGTGAAGGCCAGCCCCTCCTCAGTGACCAAGAGGAAAAGCAAGCCCCTCTCTGACATGGAGCTGAACTCCAGCTCCGAGGACTCCAAAGGGAGCAAACGCATTCGCACCAACTCGATGGGCTCGGCTGCCGTGCCCCCGGCTGGGGTCAAGGTGGAGCCTGCTGTCCTGGACAGGAATTGTCCCTCCCCTATCCTTATTGACTGCCCCCACCCAAACTGTAACAAGAAATACAAGCACATCAACGGACTCAAGTACCACCAGGCGCACGCGCACACAGATGATGATAGCAAGCTGGAGGCAGATGTGGACAGTGAGTATGGCGAGGAGCCTTCCCTTCACACGGACATTGGGAGCTGCAATGGGGCTCCTATCTCACAGAAGGGTTCTCTCTCGCCAGCTCGATCAGCCACCCCCAAAGTCCGGCTGATAGAACCCCACAGCCCTTCTCCATCCAGCAAGTTCAGCACCAAGGTCCCCTGCAAGAAGAAGCTGGGAGGGGAAGGAGACACAGATCCTGGGGCCCTGTCCAACGATGGCTCTGAGGATGGCCCCTCGGTGGCCGATGAGACAAGTAACGATGGCTTCGACTCACTGGAGAAGAGGTGTGTTGAAAAGGACAAGTCAAAGAAGCCAGTCAGCACAAAGCCAGAGAAGATCCCTTCTAAAAGCTTAAAGTCTGCCAGACCCATCGCCCCTGCCATTCCCCCCCAGCAGATCTACACCTTCCAGACAGCCACCTTCACTGCGGCAAGCCCTGGTGCCTCCACTGGCTTGACCACTACTGTGGTCCAGGCCATGCCTAACAGCCCCCAGCTCAAACCCATCCAGCCAAAGCCAACAGTCATGGGAGAACCATTCACAGTCAACCCTTCCCTGACTCCTTCCAAGGATAAGAAGAAAAAGGACAAGAAAAAGAAAGAGTCCAAGGAAGTTGAAAACCCCCTGACTCCTGGGAAGGTCTGCAGGGCAGAGGAAGGAAAGAGCCCCTTCAGGGGGGAATCCAGTGACCTAGGGACCAAAAGCGAGGGGCTTCTGAATGGTTCATCTGACCCCCACCAGAGCCGGCTTGCCAGTATCAAGGCTGAGGCAGATAAAATCTACAGTTTCACGGACAATGCTCCAAGCCCATCCATTGGAGGCACAAGCAGACTGGAGAATGCCAACCCGGCCCAGCCTATGACGCCACTGCATGTTGTCACCCAGAATGGGGCTGAGGCCAGCTCAGTGAAAACCAACAGCCCAGCCTATTCAGACATCTCGGATGCAGGAGAAGATGGGGAGGGTAAATTGGAGAGTGTGAAGGCTAAGGACCCTGAGCAGCTGATAAAAGAAGGTGCAAAGAAAGCACTCTTTCCTGCCCAGACCCAGAGCAAGGACTCCCCGTACTACCAGGGTTTTGAAACCTACTACTCCCCAGGCTACCCCCAGTCGAGCCCTGGGCCCATGAACCCCAGCAGTCAGGTGGCAGCAGAGACGCAGTCCCTAAAGATGAAAAAGGATGAGGAGCAAGAGAGCCCTGAGGTGAAGGTGAAGAGTGAAGGCAGTGAAGAGAAGAAGACGGAGCTGAGCAGCTCTAGCCAGCAGCCCTCTGTCATCCAACAACGACCCAACATGTACATGCAGTCCCTCTACTACAACCAGTATGCCTACGTGCCCCCCTATGGCTACAGTGACCAGGGCTACCATGCCCACCTGCTGAGCACCAACCCGGCTTACCGCCAGCAGTATGAAGAGCAGCAGAAGCAGAGGCAGAACCTGGAGCAGCAGCAGCAGCAGCGAGGGCTGGAGAAGAAAGCAGAGCTCAGCATGAAGGAGAGAGAGGTGGCCCTCAAGGAGGAGTGGAAGCAAAAGCCCTCTGTCCCGCCAACCCTCACCAAAGCCCCCAGCCTCACAGATCTGGTGAAATCTGGGCTGAGCAAGACCAAGGAGCAGGGGGCTGCTGACACGGCCAAGTCCGTGATCATTCCCAAGCTGGAGGACTCCAAGCTGCCCAGTCAGGTGGCAGAGGGACTCAAGGTGAAGCTAAGTGAGGCTGGCCACCTGGGGAAGGAGGCCACAGAGACAAAAGCTGGCTCTGAGTGCAGCCGGCAGGCGGAGGTGGACCCTGTTCTCTGGTACAGACAGGTAAGTGCTTGGCCTCCCAGCCAGAGAACACACTTGGAGTAGCAAGGTCCCTGCAGCTCTTGCCTGGGCTTCTGGACAGGGCACAAAGGAGAGAACATCCATGTCCTGCTCCCTTCCCAGGCCCTCTCCTTCCTCCCAGCTGTTGTCAGAAGGAAGGCAGAGAGCTAGGGACAGGTGCCTAGCGTGGAGCTCTTTGCACCCACTGTGTCAGACTTAGGCTGCTTCTGCCATTGTGTGGGCTCAGGGCTGGGCTTGGTGGGGTTGCTCGCATCTCTCCTTGGCTGCAGGGTGTAAGGTTCACTCCTCTCCAGCATCAGACTTTGGCCTAAGTGAAATTACACCAAGGACCCAGCCAGTGAAGGCACCTAAGAGTTGCTAACTCCACATCAGCAGAGCAGGCATGTTAGGGCAGTGGGGAATGGTGGGTGCACAAGGTTTGGTGTCTGTACACCTTGAAATAGCAGTGGTTGCCTGTGGTAGCCTGGTGTCAGGCAGAACGCAGGGCATGCCAGTACCCTAGAGACTGACTGGTTCAGAGAAGCATGAGCTTTTTTAGTAAGTAGCCTACTTTATCAGGGGCTGAATAGTCAGAGACTCTCTTCTTGGGGCATCTCCCCAGCCTGGTCGTCTGATCCCCAAAAGGACATCACAAGAAGAGCCAGGGTGTCTGAAACGGGCAGGAGAATGAGGAGAGGCAACCCCTAGGAAGCACAGTGGAGAAGACCAGGCCTCCACCTTCCAGAGATGCCTTCCCCCTCCCCTCTCTCTCTGTCTTGCTTCCATTTGTTCTTCTGGCCACTTTTTATTACCTCTTTTGTGAGGCTCTGTCACTGCCACCCAGCAGCAGTGAGTTGTACCTGGTGCAGGAGTAAGCACACTGATGGCAGTGCTCCATGGCAGGACTCTCTGCTCTCAGGCTCTTCTGCATAGGTGTAGGGAGCAGCCACGACCTGGCTTTGAGATGCCTTTGGGTCAGGGTAGGAGTGGCATTTGGTGTCATGACTGCCCATGGCAATAGGAACTGGCTGGTGGAAGGATGGTGGCCTTTGATAGCATGCACACTCTTGTGTTTCTGTGTATCCCATGTGGGACCAGGTATGAGGCTGCTGTGCTCGGGATCACAGAACTGGGAGCAGAGGGAGACTGAGCGGCCTGTGGAAGCAGAGGCCACCACTTCCTTCCCTGGTCATCATCTGGCTCTAAGCCTTTCTGGGTGTGGGGGAGGGAGTGTGATAGGAGGTGCTGTTGCTAGGGTGTAGTGAAGGGAGGGGTATGGCCACTCTAACAAGGTTGGTTGGTGGTTTGTGCAGGAAACAGAGCCCCGGATGTGGACCTATGTTTATCCCGCCAAGTACTCGGACATCAAGACTGAGGACGAGCGGTGGAAGGAGGAGAGGGACAGGAAGTTGAAAGAAGAGAGGAGCCGAAGCAAAGAGGCCATCCCCAAGGAGGATGGGAAGGAGAGCACAAGCTCCGAGTGCAAGCTAACGCCCACTGAGGAGTCCCGCATGGTGGGGAAGGATCCCCGGCCCAGCGTCCATGTTCCCGTGTCCTCCCCCCTCACCCAGCACCAGTCCTACATCCCCTACATGCACGGCTACTCCTACAGCCAGTCCTATGACCCCAACCACCCCAGCTACCGGGGCATGCCGACGGTCATGATGCAGAACTACCCAGGTAGGGGCTTGGTATGGGTACATCCGGGAGTGTTACATTGGGTGGCATGTGGACAGAGAGGGGAAAGTTTTCTAAGAGGCAGCCCAGTGGGGGAGGCCTCCTGTCCTCTCATCTTCCTTGGGGCTGCGGCAGGGGAGTGTGGGCAGGAGTTGTGCTGTGTAATCAAAGCTGAGCCAGGTGTGAAATGCAGGTCTCTGAGTCTCCTCCCTGTAACCTGCCCACCGTGCTGCCTTCCTGTGCCTGGAAGGCTCCCAAAGGGGGGAAATAAGAGAACATGGGGCACATTCAGGGGGTGAATACAGCAGTGGTACAGGAGGGGGCCACCAGTTTAGCTTGGTGGATAGCAAGGAACCAATGCTGCACCCTGTTGGAAATGTTGGAATTTGGACCCAGGCAGGAGTGGGGTAACATTGCCCTGTATACAACTGAACTTTGGCCTTCCCCTTGCCTGGTGCTTCTGTCCCAGTGCCAGGGGCCGACATGGGCGCAGCCCCCAGCAACAGTGTTTATAGCATGGTTCCCCAGCTGCCTTTGCTCCTGCTTTCTGTGGTGCCACCTGTATGGAGAGACAGGTGCGGGGCAGTGCTGGGGGCTGCAGGCTGGTCCCTCGGCACCATGCTTGCGCTCAGCCATCCTTGTATTCGGCTGGTTGGAGTGGTAGAGCCTCCCAGGCTTGGGGTGGGAAGGAGAGACATGGTCTCACGTGCTGTAGTGAGGGTTTTGCTGTTGTTGTCATGGGAGCATCACAGAGCTGTGCTGGCAGCTTTGGCGCAGTGCCCTGCCCAGCCACGGCTGGTAGCACCGGTTGTTGCCACCCTGGTGGCAGCCCGGGACCTCCCCAGCCTGAGCACCCTGACTCCCTTGGGAAACAGCCGCAGGCGGCACTGAGGCCGCCTTCTGCTTGGTGAGAATGTCCTCTCCCTGCAGGATCGTACCTGCCCTCCAGCTACTCCTTCTCCCCCTATGGGAGCAAGGCCTCTGGGAGCGACGACAGCGACAAGTCTCGAGCCAGCCCCAGCGTGAGCTGCAAATCCAGCTCGGAGTCCAAGGCCCTGGACATCCTGCAGCAGCATGCCAGCCACTACAAGAGCAAGTCCCCCACGGTGAGCCTGGGGAAGGGCAGGACCTCTCTGCACTGTGGGCCCGCTGAGGGTCCACGTGCTGCCCATGTGCTCAGACTGCGCTTCCCCCCCCCTCCCCCCCAATAGCTGCTGGAGCCTAGCCCCACAGACCTGCTGTTGGTGGGTGCTGTTGAGTGGCTTAGTACAGGCTTTCCCATTCCCATGCCCAGGGCCTCAGTATGGTCCAGTACCATGGTGGTGTCTGGGCTGCGTGACGCCCTTGTAGACTGTAAGCTAACCCTGAGGCGTGAGGAGGGGAAGTGGCTTTTCCCAGCAAGGCAAGGCCAGCACTTCATCATCCCCCAGCACTGCTTCCTCTTCCATGGTGGCTTCCTTTCCCAGGCCCCCTCATTCATGCTCTGGGAACAGTGCTGAAGCCATGGGTGCAAGAAATCTGCCCTGAGGAAAGGAGGACATCCTGGGTCTAGCTGGGGCTGGCAGACCCCGGAAGCATTTGGGTTTTGGGATCCATCTTGTAACCCATGGGAGAAGCTGCCTTGGAAAATGATCCTACTGTGTGGGGTGGGTGTAGAGGCACCATCCTGTGATGTAGGTAGGGGGATGATGGGGTGGGTGTTTATATACAATAGGCAAATTGGTGCTGCCCATCTGTTGTCCCTTCCCTGTCCACGGGGGGCAGCCTCGTGCCTCTTTGCACCAGCATCCTGAGACAGGTGTTTGAGACAGGAAGTGGAGCATACTGTGTCCAATTACAAAGGGCCGTAATGGCGCCTTGTGCAGCCACTTCCCCAGCCCTGACCAGCCTCAGCCCTGTTCATCTGTGGCTGGAGGTGACCTCACTGGCAGAAGTCCAGAGCTATCTTGGCTGTGGCAGCACCAGCAGGGTGAGGAGCTCAGTCACTGGAGGAGCCTGCAGTGACCTGCTGGGCCCTTGGCTCAGACAGTTGCTCGAGTAGCCTCATCCCCATGGCACATGCTACACCATGCCCAGACACCTCCTGCCTTGTGGACATCAGAGCCAGCCTACTTGCGTGGTGCCTGGTTGTCCACCATCTTCAATGCGCCTTTGTGCCTCCCTGTCCAGATAAGCGAGAAGACGTCTCAGGAGCGAGAGCTCAGTGGCTGTGGGGTGGTGGGGGGAGGCGGAGGCTGCAGCACTGTCGGGGCAGCGGGAGGCGGGGAGAGGAGCGTGGACCGACCCCGGACCTCCCCTTCCCAACGCCTCATGTCAACGCATCACCACCACCACCACCTAGGGTACTCGCTGCTGCCAGCACAGTACAACCTGCCCTATGCAACAGGTGAGAGCAGAGGGCCCGCTGGCAGGGAGTGGAAGAGGGGGGCTCGGTCTGTGCCAGGGTCTAGAGTTCTGAGTGGGGGGAAGGGCTGGGCTGAACAGCCGTGGTGGGTGTGGGATTACCTGGCATGAGCATGAGGGGGAGCAGCAAAAGGCAGGTTGAGGCAGCCCCCTGAGTTTCCCCTGCCCTGGGGGGCTGGCAGCACCAGGCTGAAATAGACAGCTCTCATGGCCTCCCTGGCCTGTTGTGGTGAATTGCTCCCGCCTATGGGGCGCTGCCAGTCTTGGGGTCATGGCTCCGGGGAGAGCAACTCATTGTTCCCAGCCTCAGGGCTAGTGCTGGAGCCCCCTGGCAATGAGCCCAGCTCCAGGCCACTGCAGAGTGCAGGGCAGGGCAGGGCAAGGCTGAGTGACCTGAACTGCAGGTCCATTGTCATCAGCCTTCGGCATCACCACCATTCATCCTGTGGTGCTGCCGTGCAGCTCCTGATCTGTTCTCTGCTTCTTTCTGCAGGTCTCTCTTCTACAGCCATTGTTGCCAGCCAGCAGGGCTCCACCCCCTCCTTATACCCACCTCCCCGGAGGTGAGAACGGTAAGCCTCTGCCCTA